TCATGTGATCCATCGGCTCCGGAAAGTTTGTCTGGTAATGAGATCCTATGCATTACATGTAAGTCTCGTATTTCTTGAGAGTTGCAGTAAACAGGCATGCGAAATAACCGCTGAGGATCGCATTATGTGAACAGGCATCTACGACAGCATAGCCGCTGCAGTGAATTTTCGGGTAAGTATCTCTACCTGTTTGTCGGCCGCCCGCCTTATGGTGATATTTCGATAACCTGAATTATATCTTCCTCTCATTTCAGGACTTCAACGGCCAAAAGAACGCTCCTCACGAAGAAGAAAATGCGCCTCACAGAAGGACATATGTAAACTTCAAAACAACCAATATATCTCAAAATTTCAAGACGTCCATTTTCAGCTTTTTCTCCGTTACAGATGGATGGATTAGTTAGGTATCGTGTACCCCTGGCCGCATGTTAGTGGTGTGCGTCGGGTAAGATCGTTCAGCTGTCTGGCATTATCGACGTACTCTCTATGTGTCTAGTTAGTTAGGTATCGTGTACCCCTAGCCGCATGTTAGTGGTGTGCGTCCGTTCACATCGATAAACCTCGAGGTCTTTCTAGAATAATTCGCAATCTATAATGAAAAATGGTGGTTTTTGCCAGCAATCGTGCACGATGTTTAGCAAATAATTAGCGTGCACTACGGAATTTTTTCCTGCAAACGAAGAATCATCGACCAAAATTTGTTTGCACGAATGCGCCTACGCATACGTTGCATCTCCAAAGGCCATTTAGATTCTAGAATGTTGGGGAAATTTGTTCCGGTGGAAAAATACCTGAAAGTTACGCCCACTGTATGTGAGTCAACCTTTTCTACAATTCGCGATTTTTTATCATCAGGTAACGTATTCACAGTCGGCGGTGTTTATTGACTTTGAGAATTCGCTCACTTAAACAAATCGAAATAGTAAATGATTTTCAATAATACATGAGCAAATACATTATACATAGACATTCTACACTATGAAGTGGCAAGTCTGAAAACGCCGTGGAGTTCGAGAAATCAATCTCATTGTGCGAATAGTCAGCGGCCCTATCTCTCTTAAACCCATAACAAATTCGAATTGGCCATTTCCGTGACCTTGAGATTTTGCTCACCTAAACAAAATGCTGTGAGCAACATGCCACCGAAAGTTGATGACGTTATTGATTGTGCTTCTATGATTTCAATGTCCATCGCATTTCGACCCATCTCGTTTAGGCATGACTGCATCTGCATCAGTTAGCTCTAACTACACGTGTGACTGCTCCATTTCCACGAAATCGTGAACACATGCGATGATCATACCTGACGGTATGCCAACCATCGTCTGGGAATAGACATTATTATTGACAGCATTATTAAGATGATGTTTTGGAAGTGGGCCTGGAAATGCAGGCCGGGATACGACCGACGTGGATGACAGAGGGGCCAGGGTTCACACAGAGGCCACGCGGTAGTCCCTCGCTCAACCGGGGTGGACGAATATTTGGATAGAGCATTCACTGGTTTTTGGCAGTTGGTCAAGGTTTTTAACCCTTTTTGGTGGTTGTGGGAGCCGAATGCGTAAGCTGTGATATTGTTGATGGATTGGTCATTTTATTGCCATTTCACTTGGAAGAGAAAGGTTGAAAAATTGAAAACAAGGGCATTGATGTGCGTAGGCGACTGGCCGTGGAGGCAACACTGTTGAATGTTGATGGTTTGAGTTTATCTTTGGGCTAGGGTTGCGTTGATCAAAAAGACCCTTTTGAGTTACCCGTGCGAGAAAATGCAATAACCGGGTGATAACAGGCAGAAGTTTGACGAGAATTCAAAGGAAGTCAAGCGGAACTTTTCAAGAGGTAAAAACTGAAACTAATTTCAAACTTTTAGCTGAGAAGGCAGACCGCGCCAGGGAAGGAAGGAGAGCCGTGGGTCTCCCAAAATAGATTTCTCAACATTTTTCTGTCTGAGTACTTCACGATCCCGTCTAATAATTGTATGAATAACCCCACAAACTCGTCGGAAACTCTCACATCCAGGACATTACACTGAAACTCCTTTTGGTGAAACAGTCTCGAAAAAAATCTGGCCATTTGAGGTTGCTTGAGATTATACTTGGTTCTCCTGGCTCATTTAACTTTGAGGAGGGTTAGGATACTATGGATAAGTTGACATCGCCTGGGGTTGTTTGGTGGGTTGTCAACATGTGCCTAGTTTTGACGAACATACGAAGTTAGATCTCTAGGGATGAACTTCCAACAACAAGCCTACTGGGACAAAACATACCTGGGTGGGTCGAGAGAAGTGCACAAAACCGTAGGGAAGCACTGGAAAAACCGGCTTGTAGGCGAGTGAACGCAACGGTTCGAAAGCGAGTGACCTAGAACTTGTCAGTATTATCTGGACAGAGATCGCCCACGGAAGAGACTAACAATGGTGAGCGATTTTTCCAGGAGCCATAAACCACGTCATGAAATTTATTTAGCGTTATCCGATATACGCCTCTTCATGCCGACGTAAGCCTGACATTCATGTCCCTTTTTTATCGAGACATCCTATCGTGGCCAAAGACGCAATGGTGTCCAGCTGAACTATGTCAGGAGAGGAGGTATGCCGAACCGAACATATGAGTAGTGCGGGCGGTGACGAGAGGGTAGAAGAAAGGTTGGGTATATTTTGTGGACAACAGAGAAACCCAATTAGAAAATGGGGAGGAGCAGAAGAGTGACACGGAATTAAGGTGCAAAGTGGCAGTGGCTTTCCACTATGGGTAACAGATAAGGAGCTTCAGCACAATACAACCTACTGGAGGAGCACGACAGATGAAATGGTTCAAAAAGTGGCGCAAAGCCCTCGAAGCACCGGATGAAATGGCTGCTGCATCTAACTGGGACGGGAAGATAGAATGTATACCCAGGGCATGCAAGTTTCTGAAAAGGTGTGTGATGCTTAAAGGTGCTGAGTAGCATCGTCCTTATCCAGCTAAATGGGCTTTTCATCCCAGCATATCGATGATTGTCGGCTTGTTTGGCCTCACTGTCTTGTTTGTTACACCCTTTGCGTAAGGCGATTACCTCCAGTTCCCGAAAGCATATACATGTGTTTTTCTCGGCTGCGTGTCCACTTGCACCATTTTTTTCGGCAACAAATAACTCCGCTTCCAAACACCTAAATCGTCAACCGGGTTCCATTCGTGAAAGGCTATGCAACGGGATGAGGCCGGGTGTGGGAGCTTGCAACGATCAAACAGCTCACAAAGTGGAAGAGGCACATTGCTGCTAAATAGTAGACGTGAATCACCAAAACGACACGCCCAAGCTGCCGCTGACCATTATGCCCAAGGAACGTCCTCACTGACATCTACACAAAAACTCAGCGCCAATGGATATCCGACATATCGGAAACGTGGTCAAATAACGGCAGGATGCTTTCTACCACCGACACCATGGTACACCAGCGACTGACATTCCTGTGACTGAAGTTGTCACATTTTGTCACAGGAACAAAAGTAGCTAGCGTCATTGCATGGTGTTTAGAGTGCCTAAGGTGGAAGGCAGTTGGTTCTAACACACACGAACTTCGTCCTCGAGGATTCCCCGAGCGTCTAATTCAAAGAACGTCCCTAAAGGACCCACATACACGTGACTCCTATTACGCTTTGGCTCAATAAAATCCTAAAAAGCATTTCGCAATAAGCTCTCAAACGAATGTCAGTGAATGCGACCCTAAAGAAACTATACTAATTGCAGACACAAATGCACAATCGATGGATATTTACGACCATTCACCAGTCGCAGCTCGCACCAAACTAAATCCTGTTTTACTAGGTGCGACACCGTCCACTGTACATTTCAGATTGAGTGAAAATTAAAAGTCCTGCAAAAAACTAGACCTACCCGAGCCAAAAAATTACAAGCTAAACCTTTTAGGTGAAGCTTGTCTGTTCTCAAACTAGCGAGGTATGTTGCGTCAACAGTTCATACCATGGGTAGCCTGCCATGAAAGTGTGTTCAGCACTATATAGGGCTAAGCGCTTCCAGGTTTTTAAGTTCGCGAGCTTGTCGTACAACCGAATGGTCAGAGGCATGAGCGTTGAGATGATTCGTCTAACGCATACTACAAAGAAGGGTTTCTGATTAGAACAGTTATGCCGAGCGATACCAAACAGGGATATGAAGTGTCGATCCGCGCTACGTTTCTGTAGTCGGGTTAGGAACATGCAAGCCGTACACAAATATCGAAATCAACCAAGTATTACTTCACCAGGACGCTCAGCCATCTGAGTTGTCTCCAAACGGCCTGCTCAGTCACGTCGTTAAGTAGTTTTCGCATATATACCGAACGTTAAGGTTACGAGGGCCTTGTTTGTTCATGTTGAGCAAAACTGGATAGTTGGAGCTATCATCTTGAAAAAGAGGTGTCTTGAAATCCACTCATCGTCAACACAAAACCAACTGAAGAGCGCGCTTATTGAAGTCGTATAATCGAAGAATAGTGGTTGGGATGGACTTGGTACATCCTTATTCAATTCAGCACAACAGTGGACTGTTCTAAAGTGTGGTCCTCACTGGGAAAACCACCGAATGAATTCAACAAGGTAACGCGTGCCCCCACATTCACATCACTCCCGTTTGACCGGTCCTTCTCCAGTCCTGGCACACGAAAATGAGAGAAACTGGACTCGAGTTTCGCTCACCACGAAACTCGAATCCAGTGCTTTCACCCTTCGGCGTGGACCCATCTAGCTAGTTAGGCCAGGACACTGGGGGACTTCAAACGAGAACGATTTGAATGTGAATACTATAAACCCCTCAGACATCAACAACTGATGCACGGCTTATCCGATGTTTCGGTTACCTATCCGTACGACGATGGTCGAGTTTCATCGATGGAAATGCACACTGCCTCATACAATATGCCATCTATCTGAACAGTATAACAGGGCCATCAGTCCCTGATCAGCTACATGGTCTCAGGAAAGAAATCGGTACCACAGTGTGGAGGAAGCTGGAAACAAGTTCAGCAATAAAGTTTATATATGGCAGAGCTGCAAAACGCTGTACACAAAAAAAACCAGTCAACGCATAGCTGGACAAAAAGCCGTCTATCATTGGTCTGCATTGGACTCCGGCACAGGACTGTCGTGAGATGACTGGGCTTGTTTACGTTCCGCTCGCAATTTTCTGAACTTTGACGCTTCTTCCTCCAAACGCCTCTGAAACAGACCACGAACGCAAATAAAATAATCAGATTTCGCCAAGTAAACAAAACGGGAGTCATCTGACGAAAACGGGGGCCTTTTTCAGATTAAGTTTCGGCGTCCAATTACCAATGGCAATGAAACGCTTCACGCTTGAGCGAATTAAGCGCCCACTTACAAAACCAAGGACTGTTTGACACTCAGACCTCTCTACGGGTGTCGTTCTAAACCGACCATTACGAGCTTCCACTGAGAGCTAGCTTGAAGTTCACCTTAGACCGTCATGTGCCCTCGTCAAGTTGCTACACCGACAAGTGATCGATCAGTAAAGCCCAGCGGTTGGGGCGCAGACTTACTGACCGGAAGATCCGTGGTTGGAACACAACCCGCGGCATCTTGGGTGCTCCTGTCTAGGTTGGGCAACCTGGTTGTATCTCAGCCCACGTGCTTTCTTCAGATAGCATTGCGGCTAGACAATGGAAGGATGCTAAAGCTGAACGGTTATTATTCACCATTTACAGAGTATTTTCGGTTTCTAGAGATTCCATCATAACAGCAATAAAGAGCAACGTGGTAAGTTGAATGGAAATAAATGTGGTAACGATCTATTTGTGTGACTTAACCGAAGAAAATCCACAAGAATTTCTCAGCACCCAAGCAGAAAGCCATCAAATCACAAAACAACCGGCATCCGCTTCAAACCACGATGACAAGCTCTCGAGCCCTTGATACGCATGGTCAGTCGGAACTTCGCGCTGCTGACCGCATACGAAGACGGAGGAGTCGCATCGATCAACCAACGGATCACGTGTGAACAACCAAAATAGCCATAACCAACCAACAAATCATTTTTTGTTCTCAAGCTTTTCTGCAGAACCTGTTTGGTTCGCTTGTCTTCTGAGTTGCTGGAATCACCGGCCAGTCGTTACAGCAACGACAACGAAGCCATATCCACAAGAAAACACACATGCGACTCGAGTCCTTGTATGCCAGGTCTTTTCAGGTCTATGTTGAGCCTATATATGAGCTTAGTAACCAAATCAACATTGCAAACCCCACTTCTTAAAAAAGGACTAAGCGTTGGTCGTAAAGTCCATTTTCTCGGGTTCCGACTTATATTGAGCATTGATCGTTGTTATTCTGAGTGATCAATGCAGAGTAAGGAAGGAAAGCGGGTAAGGAAGTAAGCTGCGAACGCAGATTTGATTCATTCTAGCATATTCGTAAAGTGGACTGGCAAACAAAACTACCTGGAGACAGGGTACAAATGGCTGGGATACGGAACACCAGGACTCGGACAACAACTAACCCTGTCAGCTTCCAACTTCTCCAAGTCCACCGGGCGCTTTGGTTGTCGTGAATCGTCTGGTGGTTTTGGATCACGTAGGATGAAGTCATCAGCATCCTCGGTAGACCAATCCAAAGGTGTCTGGTCCACCAGTTCAAGCAAACGAGCTGTCCCATCGTCCGAGTTGTCCGAGTGAACTGACCTATCCGGCAGTTTTGATAGTGTTGAGAAAATTCGTGTTGGAGGGAGGGTGGGTGGCTCCAGGTCATCATCTGCTGAGGGCTCTGGAAGACAAGACAACGGCGAAAGATACGAGGGGATACAGGTAAATACCAGGATGCGGTAATACGATCGGCGGTTGATCAACAAAGCACGTCGCCGTGTGGAGATGTGTTTCTAATATGAAGTAGACAAACTGTCAAGTCAAGACTTTACAGGCCCCGTTAAGTTATCGGATTAGAAATGCAATGAAGATGTAAAGTATACAGTGACTGCTTCATCATCTCTCACTTGCGGTTCCTTTCAGGTGTAGTAACCTCTAACCAGAGTCAGTAAACATGACTTTGTCCGAAGACACTAGTCACAACTGTCTCCAGATGAGCTCAAAATGGCGCAGGCGTGGAACTACTGACCGGTAGGCTCATGGCTCGAAAACCCCGATATCTTGACCACTTCTGTCTAGGCTTAGCCGACCTGGAAACAAGTCGGCCCTTGTGCCTCTTCCTGGTGACATGGCAGATACGCACCGACGGCTGAACGATTATTATTTTATCTATTACTGTACCCAGAGTCAACGCGGACATTGTAGACACAGGAGATCGAATATGGAAAGGGCCCGGTGCTGATACCTGCTTCCAAGTAACCTCTGTGGGACCATGGCTGGGATCTTCCCTCGGGTACTTTGTTGTAGCTGGTGATTGTTCGATGCCGCTGGTTAAAAATCACTTGATTCGAAACAAACTCACCGGTTACCCGTTCTCTCTCTTGGTCCATTGTTGATGTTCTGCTGGCCAAGTATGATTCGTTTCCGAAAGGAGATCTTGAGTGATGCTCAGATGCTTCTCCAGAAGGACTGAATGTGGAAGGCGAAGGTGGATGAGCTTGGCGTGGCATTAGACTGTAGGGCTGTGGTTGGACCGCCCCAGACTGCGTTGATGTGGCGTTGTTTCCAAGCATCACAACCGCAACAGCCAAGGCAGCAGCAGAGATATCTTGGTGCGGAATTTCGTCCCTGGTAGGCGTTCCAGGGCCGGAAGATAACGGACTGGGTGGAGGAGATGCCGATATTTCAAGCGCCTCCTCTGCCTTTGATCCCATTTCTGCCGTAGCAGCGCCTTTGGTTGGTTGTGGTGGTGGTGTCGGGACTCGTTCAAGAACCTCTACGATTGATTTGGAGATGTGTATACGCTAGAAGAGAGAGGACAAGCCAAAACAAGGTTACAAAGGATTCGTCAGTCGGCAA